CAGCAGTTAAGAGCACTGATTGTTTTTGCAGAGAACCCAGGGTTCAGTTCCCAGCACCCACAAGACAGCTAACAACTGTCTGTAATTCCAGTTCCAGATGATCTGATGCCCTCTCCTGGCCTCCGTGGGCACTGCACAACATGGGTGCCCTTACACATATACAGACATTCATACACATAAAACAAAACATAAATAAAACAGAATTATACAAGAAAAAATTAATTTAATAGAATTTTCTAAAGATCATGGTTTTTGGTGGACACAGTGGCACACACTTTTAATCCCAGCACTCAGGAGGCAGAGGCAGATAGGGGAGTTTGAGGCCAGCCTAATCTACATAGGGAGTTTCAGACCAGACCCTGTTAAAAAAAAAAAAAAAAAAAAAAAATCATTGTTTTAAAAGTTCATACTTTCTCAGTTAAAAAACTTTCAATATAACAGTTTTAATACTTACTACAGGTTGAACATCCCTTATCAAATATACTTGGAGCTGTAGCCAAGCATACTGTCTCAAACCCTGTAATGGCTGAGGCAGGAGGACTGCTGCAATTTCAAGGCCAGCCCAGGTTAAAGAGATCTGTCTCCAAAAAAATAAAAATAATAATAAAAAAAGGTTTGGAGTCATAAATGTTCCAAATTGGAAATGTTTTTAATTTGGGAGCATCTGCATATACATATAATGAAATATTTAGGGGGTGGATACCAGACCTAAACAGGAAATGAATTACACCTTGTACACTTACTTAGCCTGAAGGTAATTTTCTATTTCTATATGGACTATCGCATGAGGTCACATGTGTAATTTTCCATTTGTAGTATGAATACTGTATGTACTCAAAAGAGTTTCACAGTTTGTAGCATTTTAGACTTCAAATTTTCAGAGATATTCATTCTATTATTTTAGGGAAAAAGGAAAAGCCTCTACATTACTTTAAAGGGTATGAATATTGCAAACATTCTAATAAAAAGCACTGAAATCTTAGCAGTGGGTTGGTTAGCACAGTTTTAGTTTTGCAAAATGAATTTGAGAGGATGGTTAAACAATGTGAATGTACATAATACTGAACTATAAAATTAAAAATGGTAAATGTGGTAAGGTTTTTTTTTTTTTTTTCTATTTGTGGTTGTTGCTCTGAGACAGGGTTTCTCTATATACCCCACATTGGCCTTGAATTTGAGATCCTTACTGCCTCAGCCAATCCAGTGCTGGTATTAAAGACATGTACCACTATGTCTAGCCCAAGATTTATTGGGGGGGGGGTATTATTTTGAGCACTGAATTAGGTAGTATCTACAACTAATTTACAACACTGTGTTTTATGCTAGCCACTCATTATGGAGCACCTACTCGGTCCTGTTAAGCATTAAATATGAATGTAAGTAGATTCCTGCTGTTTATTTTCTTCCACAATCTTTTTTCTCTTCTAACCTATTTGTCTTTCTTATTTCTCTTTCTTCATTCTTCCACTTCATTGTCTGTATCTGTAACTAAAGGTACTTTCCCACAGTCACTTCTATCCTAAAATTTTTGTTTAGATGTTTTGCTTTATTAAAAGTAGGACAAAAGAGACAAAACAAGATAGAGACCATTTGGGTCTTCAATCTCTAAGGACCACAAATTTTTTACTCTAAACAACACAACAGATTTTTCCCGTTTGGACAGTCTAACATCATCTTAAACTCAGAAAGCAAAAACTGAGGCTTTTGCTCTATTCAAAAATTTCCCTTTTAAACTTCCTTTACGTTAGTTGCACCAATTCAATTTTTCTTCATCTCTAAACATCGAATATTTGCCTCACAGCCAATATCCTTTTCCTTTTTAGCTATCATTTCCCAATTCCAATAAACATAACATTACAACATGAGCACAACTTAATGTGATATGACTACCCCATTTTTATAGCCCTGTTCATACCCAAAAAAAAAAAAACCCCACTTTTTAAACAGTGCTGCTTATTGCCGTGCTTTCCCAACTATTATTAAAGTCCAGTCTCATTCTACATATTCAAACTTTTTTGCTTAACTTATTCCAACTACATATTTATTATCTTTAACTTTCTCATCCCACGAACTCCTTTATTCAGTCATCTCCAAAGAGACAGCAAACTATATAACTAACTCTGACATAGTCAACAAAGGGATTTGTTACAGAAATCCAGATGACGTAAGGAAAAAATTGTTTCTGCCAACAATTATCACCATCATGACCCACTTAGGATTTCATTCTTCTAGAATATGTGCAATGTGATTAAAATATCACACATATAATGTATATATATAATATTGTGGATGCTATATACGCACATTAAAAACAAACACATACATGAATGCCTTTCCTCCTAGAAATATTCCTCCTAGAAATACACCGCCTAAATTAAGAGGATTCTGTACCTTTCCAGGTACTCAGCAATGCCTTTGCCTAACTGCTTTTAAAACACCTTAAACAGGGGCTGGAAAGTTGGCTCAGCAGTTAAGAGTACTGGCTGTTTTCAGAAGACCCGGGTTCAAATCCCAGCACCCACATGGCAGCTAACAACTGTCCGTAACTCCAGTTCCAGGGGATCCAACGGCCTCTTCAGTCCTCCAGGGGCACTGCACAACAGGTGCACTTACCTACATGCAGGCAATACATGCATACACATAAAATAAAATAAAATATTAAAAAAAAAAAAACACCAACACATTTAGGAATTTACAAGTACAAACCACCTGCATTCAAATTCTTTTGGGGTTGTCACCTCTTTAAAAGAAGAGAAAACACACTTAAAATAGCAATCTTAAAATATTAATGATTCTTAACAGCATATATATATTCCCAAACTTACATAATCACAATCCCAAACTTTTATTTTTGACTTCATTTACTATTATTATATTTGAAAAGGTTTTTTTATCTATTTTTATGTGTATGAGTGTTTTGCCTGTATGTGTGCCTGTGCATGCAATACCCACGGAAGCCAGAAGAGGGCATCAGATCCCCTGGAACTGGAGCTACAAGGTGGTGTTAGCTGCCACGTGGGTGCTCGGAAACAGAACCCAGGTCCTCTGCAAGAGCAGCCAGTGCTCTTAACCACTGAGCCATCTCTCTAGCCACCATTTACTATTTAAAAACTTAATTTGAACATCACTAATACAAGAGAGTAAATACTCTCAAGTCTCCCAGTCCTGATGTCAGCCATCCAGTTAGTTGCCTTACATAGAAATAACAGAAGCTTAAACTGTCCACCATATTCAAAATTATATTTTGCAGATTTGAGCATATATACTTTTCCCACTTTACTATTAATATTTACATACTTATATAAGCACTGTTTCATAAATTGCTTCAAATTTTAGGTATCCAGATATCCTCTTTTCTTTTACAATTAGAAATCAGCTTCATCAGGCACATGTTTACATAGACTAAAGACTCAGATCTGCAAAACTCTCTGTAGGTGTTCAAGTTCTGCCCAGTGAGAGGTAGAAGAAAAAGACAGGCTCTACTTCAGCCTTTCCTCTGCTTCGTAGCTGGAATCATCTACAGGGTAGGGGCTTCAGGAACTTTCTCTCATGGACAGTAGCTAAGAATGAGAGAAAAGGCAAACAGATGGTGATGTTCCTGAGCAACAGAGTTTCAGCTAGGCCTGATACTGAACAGTTTCTGAGAATTCTTTTAAGATTCATGGTAGCTCTCATCTGTAAGCAGGAGAAATGCCTGTAAGTTCCAAGCCGGTCTGGGCTACAGCATAAAACCTTTTTGCCCCCACCACCAAAAAAAGAAAGAAAAAACCCCGAGATAGTGCCATGTTAACATTAGAGAGGCATTCAAGATGATGCCAAAGAGGGTATGGGGCACGTGGTCCAGTTGGTAGAGTGTTTGCCTAGGATCCCTGGGTTCCATTCCCAACACCATACAGAACCGGGTGCTATGGCTCATACCTGTGATTGCAGCACCTCAGGAGGCAGAGGCAGAAACATTAGGAGTTCAAATTCATCGTCAGCTACATGGGGATTTCAGGCCAGCCTGGGCTGTATGAGACCATCTCAAAAAATAAGTAAGGTCAGCAAGATAGCTCAGCGGATAAAGGCATTTGTTATTAAGCCCGATTGCCTGAGTTCAATCCCAGGAACCTACATGGTGGAAACAGAGATCCAATGCCTCCTCCCAAGATGTCATCTGACTATATATAGGGCTGTGATTTCACACCCAGATAAATGTAATAAATAAACAAGCCAAGTCAAAAAGCGAAGGGTTTAGAAAGTATCCTCTCTCCAGGAGAAGAGAGAATCAATGAAGTAATCATTAACCTTACAGAAAAGAATGAAGGGAAGAAAAGAGAAACATGTTGCAAAGCCTGGTACTCCTGGAAGGCAAGGAGGATGGCAAGGGTCCCAGGCAATAGAAGAGTGGATATCTGGAGATCTCTGGTCTCTGTCTCATCATGTGATCCTTCTATCTTACACATACTCCCACCATTGTGACACTATCTACCATGAGATCTTCACCAGGGTAGGCACCATGCCTTTGAACATTAATAAACCTCTTTCTTTGTGAGTACTCGGCCTCAAATACTTGGTTACAGTAACAGAAAATTGACTAATACCTAAAGGGAGACAAAGATAATCTCACAGAAGCTTTTTTTCCTGTGTTGTTTTGGCTAGATACATTTAATTTGCAATTCCAAAATAATACATATACAAGGAAAGCCTTTTGGCAGCAATCATATGTAACCTTATCTTTATGATGATAAAAGATGTATTATGCCTGTCTCAACAAATACACAGTTCAAATTAGTATCTTTTGTAGAAAGGAATACATTCCTTTGCCTAATTTATACTTATGAATAAATGCACAAAAAGAGTAAGCACTTAAGATAGCATGGGAAAAAGAACAAATGATATTTATGACCACCACTGAAAATCACCTGCTTTGAATTTCACAATTTCTAACGTAAACACTTAAAATTATTTGCCAAAATTAATGAAGAACCACTGGCCCCTTCTCAAAGAAATGTTTTTTAAAGCAGGATTTAAGTACAGTATAGCTGTTAAGTGCTATGTTGTCGTTCACCCTGCTCAAAACAATGTTGTTTCTTAACTATACCTGTCTGCTAAGACACCTGTAGCAGCCAGGGACACTTGGTCTCATACATGTTAAAAAAAAATAAACAACAACAACAATAAAAAAAAAAAAAAACCCTTTTCTGATCAACTTGAATATACTCTTGGGATTTTTCTCTATGCTTTCCCTCTCCATGCATATTATATACAAACTCCACAAATCTTTACATCTAACTTAAAAACTATTTTTTTTCATTTAATATGTTAACTGTTTAACACATCAAAACATAAAAATCAAGTCAGATGTGGTGGCACACATCTGTAATTCCAGCTCTCAGGAGGCTGAGGCAGGAGGGTAGCTGCTAAGTTCAACGCCAGTCTGAGCTACCGCATGACACCCTGTCTCATAAACACAGTGCCCCTCCCCAAAAAATCATTTCAAAATTAACATCTGCGTGGCATAATTTATTTCTACTAAAGAGTATCTCATTATTTGTGATGGTGCCTGATTCCTCACTCAGGGCACCACAATGTGGCAGTGCTACATTAAAGAGGAACTTCGCTCTTGGAGTAGTTTAATCAAGAGCTGGCCTGATCCTGTTCTGAGGTGTTCTGATTCCTCTCAGAACTGTTCTCTCAGAACTGCACTCTATGCTTCTATTCTACTGTATTCTACTCTACTCCATTCTACTCTACCATCTAACAAAGGGCTCCTCTCATATTGATTGAACAGCATATCAAGCATGCTACGAATAATCTTTGATAACAGTATTACAAAGGAAATTGTTTTTCTGAACCTCCTGACTCAGAACAGCACACAAAGCCACAGACAGATGTCCTCAACTATGCCCCCACATTGTTTGCAACATCTGTGGGGGATAAGTTATTTACAACATCATTGTTTTGTTCAGCATTATTGTCACATCTCAGGCACACATACATTGTTTTGAGTCAGGGGCATAACTGACTCAAATAGTCACAAATAGGGAACATGGTTTAAGATTAAAGCTACGCATTCTGCTTACCTTGTAAGAGTTAGTTACACTGGGATTCCAAATCATTACAGGACTGATTACATTGTTTTTCTTAGAAAGAGTAGTATATAGTTTTAATGTTCTGAAAACATATGATTAACTTGGTTCACAAAGTAGTATAAAATTTCAAATTGTAAAAGCCAAAGCAAAGACTCTTTCCCATTAAAGTCATTCCCACAATTATTAACCAATGTTTACTATTGTCTCCCTATGAACATAATTTAACAAATTTATATCCCTTTAAGATTAAATTTTCACTTATAAAAAATACAACTTAAGTTTTGATAAGCCCACCAGCAAAGCTGAACCAATATATCATCTCATTTTTTAACAAATATTTAATATTGCTTCTATTGCGGAGCATCAGCCTGTTCAGAGATTGTATACTGTTCTCTACTTGGTTACCATTCTTTTCCTAAATGCTTTGCTAGGTGCTGCCTATATCCAAAGAACTTTCATACATAATGTTGCTACAAGGTATCTTGTCCTGGTTTGTATTTACTATGAATTCTTTATACAGATTTTGATGTAGAAGTTTCCCTATTTGCTCAAAATCAACTACCATTTCCTTCACAGTATGTATGTTGCGATCAGAATAAAATCCCAAATTCTTAATTTAAACCGTCACTAATATTTTCTTAAGCTGTAAATCAAAGACCTGAATTGCATTTTCCTTCCCTATGCAATTTTGCATTTGCCCGCCATGAGTCAGGATGGTAATTTTCTTCTCTCCCAAACTAAAAAATGTACCACCTACATTACACTGCTCTGTTCCTGAAATTTATTTCCTATTAGAAAAAGCTTTCCAACAATGTACCAGAAATGTGTAACAAGAATGAAACAACAAAGTTAACCTCAATTTCTAGGGCTGTCTGTCATGCATAAAGCCCAGGAGCCAGAGCAACCAAAGCCACATGAGCCTCAAATGTATATACATCACTCATCTTAAAACGCTCTTAATTATTTCTCCTAGTAATTAGTACAAACTATTATTTTTCTATTTTTAAAAATCACAACATCCTACTGAAAACTGAAAATATGAGATACAACAAGGCAGTGGTGGGATATACAAAGTTCTTAATGTGAACTTAACCTAACAAAAAAGTTATACAGGGGGCCAGGCATGGTGATGCAAGCCTTTATTCCCAATACTTGGGAGACAGATGGATCTCTGGGAGTTTGAGGCCAGCCTCATCTACATTGCGAGTACCAAGCCAGCTAGAGCTACATAGTGAGACCATGTCTCAAAAAAACAAAAACAGGCAGGGGCGGGGGGGGGGGGGGCTCCAAAGTTAAGAGCATTTACTGCTTTATAAGAAAGAGGCCTGAAGTTCAGGCCTCACACAAACACCTCTAACTACAGCTCCAAGTTGTACTTTTCCAAAGCTGGAAAACAAACATACATACGTAAGTGGCTCTTTAAAATACAAACAAGAGGGGCTGGAGAGATGGCTCAACACTAAAAAGCACTGGCTGCTCTTGCAGGACCAGAGTTCAGTTCCCAGCATCCACATAGTGGCTAACAACCACCCATAACTCCAGTTCCAAGGGATCCAATGCCCTCTTCTGACCTCTGCAGGCATTGACACAGATACACGTACATAACTGTAGGCCTTACGCTCATACACATAAAAAATAATAAATAATAAAACATTTTTTAAAAAAACAAGAAAGTTACACAGAATGGGCTAGAGAGGCCAGAGATGGGGTCAAACTCTGAGATGCCTAATCAAAGAGTACCAAAGCAACTTTTTGTATTAAAGCCATGTGTCATGGGCCACACTTACAATCCCAACACTTTGGATACCAAGAGAGGGCAATGCATAGTATAGGGAGGTTTAAGGTTAGCTTAGGGTACATAAATGAGGTTAAAGTCAGCCTGAAATATAAGGCAATGCAGTTCAATGGTAGAGCGCTTACCAACGATGTGCAAGGTCCTGAATATGACTAGCATGGCAAGCCAAAAAAAGAGAGAGAACAAAGTGAACTACATGTTTAGTTTGGAAGCTTCATCCAGAAGATAGAACACAGAAACTGGAGTCTACTCAAGATGGAAGAAAAATAAGATATTCTTCCAACAACATTGAGATCTTAATGGACTGGCACACTCAACATAAAAAAACAGTATCTAAAAAACTGGCCTTGAAAGACAAGAAAAACCATCCATCTCCTGATCCCATGAAAGGAATAGAAAATCTGAAATGTATAAACCATAACTGTATCAGTCACTCAACCTGGATAGAACATACAAACTTCAGGCAAGAAAGAATGTAGCTACTACAGTTTTCAATCAATGTATAGGCCAAAATCAAACAGACTCCTATCATACCAGGTCTAAAAGTAATTCTTTAGTTTCAAAGAAAAAGAAACTCCTATTCAAAAATCACTCTGTCTAGAAAGGGGGGGAAAAAGAATTAAGGTGATCAAAACTATATTAAAATATAATGTAATACTTTAATTACAACAAATGTAAATGTGATAAATACACTAGATATGAAGGTTGTCAACAGATTTTTTTTTTTAAAATCTAGATTCATGGAATTTATTACATTCCTCCAAAACAGATTTAAAGATTAACACAGAGAAAAATACTATACAAATATCAAAAACAAATTTGACATTGTACCAGATATAAAATAATAAAGACACAGAAATAAAGAGAACTACCAAATGATTTAAAATATTTAGCAACAGAATAAAGAGCTGGGAAACAGAACTTATTATAGGTACAGAATCTTAATAAACAAAATGGGCAAACAACAATCTAACAAAAATATGGTGATGAGCCAACATGTAATTTGTGTGTGTGTGTGTGTGTGTGTGTGTGCGCGCGCGCACATGCTACAATGCACATGTGGAGATCACAGGATACCTTTCAGGACTCGGTTGTCTCCTTCCACCATGTGGATTTCTGGGGGTTGAAATCAGGTTGACAGCAGGTGTCATTTTGCTGGTCCCCAACAATGTTCTTTACAAAGGAGGAAAAATATTAAAAGAAACTGAGGGCCAGCAAGACATCTCTAAAGTAAGTATGATAAGCTGAAAAAACTATTAGCATATATAGCAAAAAACAGGATTAGGTTAAGAAACTTGAAAGAAGGTTATTATTCTGCAGTATCTGGACGGTTCTTAAATAGACCACATATATTTGTTTAAGAGAAGCAGAGTTTTCAGATACAAAACAAAGACAATGAATGATATATATTATAACCAGGTACCAGCACTGGAAAGAGCCAATGAACTGATTACCCACTAATACTGCCAGCATATGACCCTGCTGACAACTGCTCACACCTTCTGGCCTCCAGAACTGTGAAAGAACACATTTCTATAGTGTGGTAATCTATAGCTGCCACAAGAAACTAACACAACAGAATACCTCTGTACCCACCCACACTGAGTTTTATTCACACACCTAATCTCGCTCATGAACCAAAAACTAGGGCTTGGACTACAACAATTCCCATGGAAGGGCACTGTTCCACCATGATAGCATGCTGTTTTCTGCCCAGTATCCAAGTACATCAACATGACACCAAGTGTGACCTAATCAGGTCCTACTTGTTTTGATGACTGTTGAGCCCAAAGCTCCTCAGGGGGGCAACTGCAGTTTCTAATGTTACCACCACTGTGAAATTTATAAGTTAATTAATAAGTTTGTGTCATATTTTTGTCACAAACTACCTGTTTCATCAAGATTCTAAAGTTACAGTTTAGCTACACACCATATTCTATTTGCAACTGGTTATACCCTGTCTTTATTCCTGATTTCTTAATTTATGCCTCCCTTTGCCCCCTCCTTAAGTCTTAATAGAAGTACATGTACTTTGCTTTCTCTAAACAATTGCTGAATATATTTATAGGCACACTTTAATGCTGTAGCACAATCACTAAGAGTACGTAGGTTGCCTATACAGAATCACCCTCTACATGACAGTATTTTATTTAATGAATCATTAGTTTTCCAATATTTTGCCTAATCAAGAAAAGGCCAGTAGTTTATGTATTATAACACAGGGGAAAAAGAAAAAAAAAAAAAAACAATGTCTCCCTGACAA